TTCACTTCTCTTTTCTTCACCACCTGCTCAATTTCAAGATTTCTTCATAACTTTCTGCTAGAAATGTCCAATTTACTGCATTCTCTTCTATAAAAAATATATATATATATATATATATATATATATATATATATATATATATATTTCAGTCAAGTTCATGAAGTCTCAATTTGGGTTGCAGAATCAGATATACACATCAAGATTCAACATTTTTTCGTTGATTTATTGATGCCCAGAGTCTAAAAATCCTCCATTTTCGTTGATTTATTTGAATCATGAACTGTTTCATAGATTTCCCCAAAAGTTTCCAATATTTCTTGAAAAGCTGCAACTTTTCCAGAAAGATTTTGAATCTGGATTCATAGAACTAATCGAACTTTCTTCAACTTTATGTTTTCCAGAATCATTTGTTGGTACCTTCGGTCTTGGAGTTGGGATCAATTACGGCCAAATCGCCAACAATCTCCCATCTCCATCGCGGGTATCGACCCTCCTCGGATCCTTAAACATCAGCCGCGTAAAACTATACGATGCAGACCCGAACGTATTAACCGCATTTGCCAACACGAACATCGAATTCATCATTGGTTTAGGCAATGAATTCCTTCAGAAAATGCAAGATCCTCAACAATCCCAAATCTGGATTCAACAAAAGGTACAACCTTATCTTTCGCGAACTCGAATCACTTGTATCACCGTAGGAAACGAGGTTTTAGGAGGCCAAGATCCTCAATTACCGCAATATCTACTTCCCGCCATGAAAGCAATGTATCAAGCTTTAGTTAACCTCGGATTAAGCTCGCAAGTCTACGTTACCACCGCTCATTCTCTTCAAATCTTGAAAACGTCTTTCCCGCCTTCATCTGGTGCGTTTCGTGATGATCTTGTTCAGTATATCCAACCGATGCTTAGCTTCCACGCGCAGTCTAATTCGCCTTTTCTCATCAACGCGTACCCGTATTTTGCATACAAAAGTGACCCGAAAAACGTCCCTATTGAGTACTTGCTTTTCGAGCCGAACTCCGGGACTGTGGATCAGAATACGAATTTGAAGTATGATAATATGTTGTATGCCCAAATCGATGCTGTTTATTCGGGTATAAAGGCGTTGGGTCATACGGATGTTCAAGTTAGGATATCTGAAACAGGTTGGCCTTCGAAAGGCGATGAAGACGAGCCAGGGGCCACGGTTGAGAACGCGGGGATTTATAATAGAAATTTGTTGCGACGGATGCAAGAGGGACAAGGGACGCCCGCGCACCCGTCACAACGGATAGATATTTATGTTTTTGCCCTTTTTAACGAGAATATGAAGACCGGTCCAACGTCTGAAAGGAACTACGGATTGTATTATCCGGATGGTAATCCGGTCTACAACCTTGGTGTTCAAGGTTATCTTCCTCGTATAGATTACTCGTCTTCGGCGAAAAACGTAAGAAAATGACTATTTTACCCTTACCGTTTTCCGGGTTTTGACCCTTTTTTTTTGTGGTAACTGAAATTGTGGTTTTGCAGGCTTTGTGCATCTTGAGGCTTTCTGGCTTGCTCCTTGGATCCTTACTCTTGGCTTGATACATGGATGGTTTTACCATTTTTACATAGGAACCTCAAAAGGGTACTCATTGGAGGTAATTTTTAACTCAAAATCTTTTCAATATGAGGAAATATATATATATATATATATATATATTTTTCAAATGCAACCATTTCCATTTGTACAATTAATACAACCCAATTAATTGAGATATTTATGAAAATGATGAGAGTTTATTATCGTTATATTTTGCAGGAAGAATATGCGATTGAACAACTCCACACTGCCTAAACTGTTACAGTTATCATTTTTGTCATCACGTTTGGGACAACATAATACTCACCAATATGTATTTAGCATTTCTTTAAAATATATAGGAAATTCATCCAAAAGATTTATTAACATTAAAAATTACTTTCATAAGGAAATGAGAATTTATTTCCTTATTTAGTGATAATCTTTTTTTATATTTTTGTAAAAATGTACTTACCAATTTTCTTTTCCCACATATTAATATTAAAATTTATTCTTTATATTTTAATGTATAATTTTATTTGATTATGATATAAAATAAGTTACATATAACATTACCTTTTAGATACTGCGTTTGAAAAAGACAAGGATATATATATATATATATATATATATATATATGGTCGACCTGAGATAATAATGGTGTTGTGTTGTTTGGTTAATTGTCCTTGAAAAGATATTATTGTGAATGAATGAATGGATGTGGTTGCTTTTCATTTTCATATTCATTATGAATAATGAATTATTATTGCAAGAAGACACCACTTCTTGCTTCAAGTTTGCCCAACATTTATTTGCAATCATTTTTCCTTTTAATGGGTCCTTAATTTGGTATTTAGTTTCTGTAAATGTATTATTTATATATGATTTTTTTATGGTATAAATGATATTATATATCATTATTTTTGTAATTATATTTTTAGATGTATGTTTAAGGTCTATATTTTGAAAGTGTTCTTAAAAAATATATTGTCTAAAATAAGTATTTTCAAGATATAAACTTTTAAATATATGTTTTATAAATTATGGATCTTTAAGCATATATGCTTTTGAAAATAACAATTAAATGAAAAAAAATATGTATTTCCAACACATTTTGCTTATTATTATTTGTACATTAAAGTTTTATAAAACCATCTTTGGTGTTTAAATTATACATATATGGGGAAGGGTTCTAACAAGAACACATTTATTTTACGAGTATGCAAAATCACCTTTTTACTATTGATAATCACATGTGATATTATTATTTCATCATATATGACACACATGTGATACTAAATCAGAGACGCAAGCGACTTTTGGCGAAATATTGGTTGCGGACCAAATCGTCCTTACACCACTAAGCCCCTCGCATGTATTATCACATGTGATAAAGGTGTTTTTGATGTGATACTATAATCCATCAAGACCATCACATATGATGCTAAATCATAGACGCATACGACCTTTGGTGCGACCTAAGTCGCAAAACAGGTCGTCCCCAGACCACCAGGTTCCCTCACATGTATTATTACATCTGATAAGAGTGTTCTAGCATTCTCGTAAAATAGAGATGTTCTCATTTAAACGTCCACCTATATGTATATGTGTGTGTGTGTGTATATATATGTGTGTGTATATGTATAGACTTGGGATCACGTGAGACCAACATGTTTTCGTGAGACCCCTAAGACCAATTTTTTACACTTGAAATTTCACAACAAAACTTGTGAAAGTAACATTCACAATGTTTTCACTGTGAAGATTTAACTTCACAACATTTTGCTGTGAAGTTTTAAGTGTAAAAAAATGATCTCACATATCTCACAAAAACAAGTTGGTCTCACATAAACTCAACCCTATATATCTATATATAAATATATAAATGTGTATGTGTGTGTATTGTATTTATTTTTTAAAATAATTTTGGTTAAAATAACTTAAGATGTTCATCAAACCTCATAAAAGTCTTAATAATTGTGCAAGTGTTTTGAAGGTATATAAGGGCAAAATGGTAATTGGCAAAATGAAATTAAAGATTTTAAAAAAGAATTAATGATCGGGATCTGAGCATGCGGGTCCCGTGGAGATCCGATCATGTGAGGTCTGAGGAAACTGAATGGCAAGCATGTGTTCCGATTTATTTATATTTATTATTAATTTTTACAGAATATACAATTTTATATATACACGCAGAGATATATATATATATATATATATATATATATATATATATATATATATATATAGACTTGGGATCATGTGAGACCAGCCTGTTTTCGTGAGACCCGTAAGACCAACATTTTACACTTGAAACTTCACAGCAAAATGTTGTGAAGGTGACTTTTTAAAACCTTCACAGTGTTTTTGCTGTGAAAGTTCGACTTTTTTTAAACCTTCACAGTGTTTTTGCTGTGAAGGTTACGTGTAAAAATATGGTCTTACGGATCTCACGAAAATAGGTTGGTCTCACGTGAACCCAACCTTATATATATATATATATATATATATATATATATATATTTGCATACATAAGAGGGAATAATACAGTGATACGGGGTCACAGTGAACTTTTTTTTTTTAGCTTCAATTTTGAATTTTTTAATATAACCAACCAACAAATTTATAATAATATTATAAAAAAATAGATATTTTTTATAATCAACTCGTATCACAATCTCGGAAAAAAAATCTGATGCACCTTTGTATACATACATACACACAAAATAAATTACCCCTTATTTTTGTACCTCTAACGTATATAACAAATACAAATTAAAATTAGAACGAAACAAATTATACTGATATACGAAAATAATAACAACATAGAAAAAGTCATGTTTGCCCCTGGGCTGTAGAGATTAGACTTGTAAATCACACGAAACTGATATATCTCACTCGAAAGTAGGACTTAAAATCATCAGGTTTCCAGCTTTTTACATGCGAAGGTTTATTCAGCCACAAGAAAGGGTATTACCATGGTCATAAATGTCTCATATGAAAGAGTGGCTGAACCTGTGTACTGTGTATCCTTCTCCTTGAACTTCTCTGTCAAACCCTGCACCAAATATCAAAACTACTGCTTAAATCCACTTCATTTTCTCATAATTTCACACATATATTTATGCATAATTTTCATTTAACAAGATACCTTCACAATCATTCCACACCTGAAAGTTCAAATAATTCAATAAATCATAAGATTTGGGAGAAAAAACTAGCTTTCATTTGATTGTTAAAACCAGATATGGTAAGTTTTAGCCTTACTCAACGAAACTGTCAAAGGATAGATCAACTCTCTGTCCTTTTTGCTCATCGTATTTTGAAATCAAGACTTGTAGGACAGACGGTGGAACTGCGTATCCAAGGCTGTATAGGGCGTCTCTTAGTTCCGCTGCATCAATCTTTCCGCTTCGGTCCCTATCAAATCTCTCAAAGATAGCCTAACCACCAAAAAGAAAGAAAATAATCAAGAAACGACACAGCTAGGTATTTAATTCACCAAGCGACCCATGATCAGATTCTTCGGATATCCCGACCAAATTCCAACTTATTGAACAAGCCCGATTGAGACAACCAAATATTCTTTGTGTCTTTCTATATGTAGCTAGGTAGCTTTATTGATACATGGATTCAAAGACTAGGGATTCTTGTTCTAGGATGGAGTAGTACATGAACCACACTATAACTTCACAAGCCGGGTGTTTTCACAGAAATTACCGCTCTACTCTCCAGGGTAGAGGTCAGGAGTGATCTGTGGTATATGCAGGTTTGTTTGGTAAAAGAAAAGCGAGATAGTCTGGAGTGATCTGTTTCCTTAATTACGAGACTGAAATCTAACAATGGAGTTCAATCTAGAGTCCAAAACAGTCCAAGTTCCTGAGATTACAGTCGCTCGTTCACCTACATCTATGGAAATTTTCTTGTTATGGAGAAGATCTAATAGACAAGCGCAAGGAAATGGCAAAAAAACTAGCTACTTCTATCCATATGATAAGGAAATGGAATCGGTCACTCACCCGCCAATGGCCAAGACAACTCCATAACTCAGCAAATTCTTTGGGACCTGAGAAACAACAAATGCAACTAAATATGGAGGATGAACATCAAATCCAGTTTTAACTAGTTAAATGCAATTATCGAAATCCAAACTATGACACTACAATACATAAAAAGACGAGTTCATGTTCCTTGTTCAATAAGACTTGGCTATTTGGTTGGTTTTTCCAGTTTGTTAGTGGCTTAATGAGCTTAATGGGCCTCACAGCCTATTTGGTCAGCTATACATGACTGCTTGGTAGTGCCTTAATGACAAGGAAGTGGCTTGTTCAGTAAGTTTCTAGGAGGGAGCTTTATGCAGACAGCCAAGTTTTTGCCGAACCTGCCCCTCCCAATTAAAGAGCACACTTCTTTCTATCTGTGAAAAAACCCTCCCAAACAAAACCTTCCTAATTTATCAAGACAAATTAATCTACACAAACAACTTTATCCATACAAGAGTTAATGGAAAACCAACCAAACAGCCCCTGATTAAAAAAACAGGTCACATACACAACATCATTTAAAGGAAGGGGTAGGATGTGGAAAATGTTGGCTGAATGGATTAAGCTCACCCTCATGAGCTGAGAAAATAAGCCAACATCTGAGTGATTAAGCCATTTCCAAACAACGAATAAGTCATATATCTCATTAAGCCACTTCCAAACAGCCCAATATGGGTGAATTGATGTAGTTATTCGAATTATTAAGCATTTAAACCCATCAAATCTTTGATAATGGGTTTCAGATTTGGTATATCTAAGCACAAACATTACATTCAGAATGCAATCTTTAGTTTGAGCCGGAGAGAGCACCATTGATCAAAGTGACAGGTAGCTTAGCTAGCATGTGCATGTTGAAATTTGGTTACTCAAATCAACATGGTTTAGAAAGAGAAAGAATTGGAGTGGCTAATTCATGTCTTGTAATCAGAAATTCAGGCAACAATTAATCAAAATTTTGACCTAATCAGCTCCATCAGTTTATCGCACCGCTTGAAATTTGAAACACAACAGATAGATTTAATCAAATCAAAGGCAAAACAAAAACAAACCAGTTCGGAGATCATCGTTAGGATTCCTGAAGAGAAACATAAGCAAACGGATAGTCCGAAGGCTAAATCTCTGGTAACCGGAAGATAGAGCCTGCTGCAATTCTTTGGCATCTATAAACCCGCTCCGATCCATATCTACCATCTGAAAGCTCCGAATGACTTCCGGGTGAGTCCCTGGTGGGAACGAAGGCGTAGGTGGGTAGCCATATGGGCTACCATATCCACCAGCCATCATCGGGTTATGAGGCTGCCCGTAATTGTAGCTGTAATTAGGTTGCTGAGATGGGGGTGGAGGTTGGTAGGGATAAGCAACGCCAGGTTGTTGTGATTGAGGTTTCGGGACGGGTGGTGCAGAAGGAGAGGTGTTGTATCCTGTCGAGTAATGAGGGTACGACATATCCCTGAATTGAGATTGAGAATTCTAGGGTTTGTAAAATTGGTCGGAAAATGATATGTTTGTTTGGTGAAATTAATGGCGGTTCTGAAGAAATTAGAAGAAGAAGAGGAAGGAGGTGAGTTAACTCGGACGAATCACGCGCAACAGCACTCACTTTGGATATTCTGCGACGTATCTCCTTGCTTAACAAGCACCATCGGCCAAATTCCTTAAAAAAGAAAAACAAATTTTTGTACATTTTACGCATAGTTACCCAAGAAGAAATAAACCGACAAAATATTATTCAAAATTAATAATAAAAAAAATTTAGGTCCGTTTTATTGGATTATTCGGATTTGAAATCTTATAATTTAATTGAAATCCTATGAACATAGAATTTGAAATCCTTAAGGGGGTGTTTAGGATTTTGTAAGATCGTATGCAATAAAGTTTCAAAATTTGTTAAAAACATTTGTTTTGTAACAATCAATTAATAAAAATGTAATTTAATTATTTTTATAGATAATGGAATCCAATTTCATTTCAAATTCTATAAACTAAACACACAGATCATTTCAAATCCAAATCCAAACTCTGTCACTAATGGGTTTGTGCGGCAGGCTCACTCGATGTCATTAGAGCATGAACAATAGATGCAAGAGTGATAAACTTCATAAGCTCTTGATGGACATACACAAGATGTATTGTTGGAAGCTCTCGATGGTGAAGGTGGAGTTAAGAGACCAAAGACGATGGCCGGAGATGGTGACGGGAAAGCATGGTTGTAGTCTTCGTGGTTTGACGTAACACTCTCTCTCTCTCTCTCTCTCTATATATATATATAATAGGTTTTCAATTATTTAACAGAAACTAAAAGGAAATGGAATAATATACATTTTCATATTTATTTTATATAAAATAAAATCCCTATCAATAACTACATTATCAAATAATCTTGAGTTCTTGAGTTCTCTGTCACGTCATCAATTATGTTATTATGGCAACAGGTGGTTAAACCGGTTAACAGGTACTTGCATGCTTGAAAATTTTAATTTTAGGTACTAAAATGAAGGTTTTGAAAGTACGTTACCCAAAAAAATAAAAACGAAAACAAATTAGGTTATATTTTCATACAATTTGCCCTATTTGTTATGTATCAAGCATCCTACAACATTTAGGGGCCGTTTACCAGACGCTTATCCGATAAAAACTTACTGACATAAGTCAACACCATCACTTACCTTGTGAGTTAACATTCGCAAAGATCAAAATGATTGATGGTATGCGATCATCATCGAAGATCAATATGACCCAAAGTTCGTCTTAAACCAACGTCTAGGTGCCTGTTGACCAAATTCCTCAAGATGACTGCTAATACTATTTTCTAACATCATGTTCAAATCTCTACATATCCATATTTCTCCTACGAAAACCAAGAGCTCTAGGCTAAGCATCACAATCTCATAGATAACGAACTTCCCCTCTAGTCTCCGGATCTCTTTCAATTTCCCTTGGTGCACTCGACCTAACTATGAGATTCTTGAGCCTCACCCAAAGCGTATGCCTAAAAATGAACTGTGTGACGGTGCCGATAATGAGGAACAGGAGGGTTTTTCCCCTCCTTTTCTCCGTCGGGGATCTGGAATCTGATAAAAACAATTCCTTACCCCTTGAAGTCCAGTTTCAGTTTCAAGAAACCTAGTTCATATTGATGGCAGAATAATGATTGGCAAAGAACAAAGAAGAAAAACATGTTACAATTCTGAACTAAACAAGACTCCTTTGCAAGTGAAGGTATATAACAGAAACCCATCTTAGTTTTTCCAAAACAATGTGTATAACTTTAATTCTGATATCTAAGTACTAAATACAAGACAGGGCAGTTGTTAAATGAGCCCTTATTACACAAAGCTTGTCTGAATAAACGTACCTGCAAAAATGATGAGCTCTCTGTATGATTCATTTTGCAACAACTGTTTAGGGATCTTGTTCCTCATTCAGATTGGGGGAACCCATGCCATGTGATGAGAGCAATATGTACAGATCTTCTATTTCATGTATTCTAGCACACTCTGGCTGACCTCCTCGAGGAAAGAAACAAACCCCATAACGCTTGCAAACCCACTTCCATCAACATCCTGTTCTTCAATTAGATAGTTCTCAAATGGGGTGGGATCTTCTTGGCCCCCTCTAATAAACATCAGTCTAGGAGTCATGCTTCTCTCTTGCTTCAGTTTGTTTATTGTCGTTCTCAATAAACCTAAAATGTGAAGTAAAATAAGTTTTTTTAATCATTCTCAAAAAGGTTTTTTTTATTAAAGAAAAAGCCAATGACTTACAGTCATGTGGTGGAGGATAAGGAAGTGTAGGGTCGGCTGTAGAGGAATAAAATACAATGAGGGTTGTGAATGCATCAAGGAAGAATATAGGACTTTCACTTGTCAGCAATGCAGCACGGCTCAACGAATGACGAGGATATGCCAATTTATCAGGAGTTGCATATGATGTCAATAGAGGATATATTGCACGGTGAAGAGAACTTGGTTCAAGACCACTGCATCAAAGGTTTGAAATAAAGATCAAGTGATGACGTTCTCATGGGGGGCTATAATCCACATATGGCAAGTAAATAACATGATTCCAAAGATGTTAATTAGAACACTGAAGTAAATTATCATTTTAGGAGTCTCGGTCAAAGAAAAACCAGAGAGCATATTTGTCAGCAGTGAATCTACATGTTAAAAAAAACATGAAGTGCCCATATAAAGCATCAATTAAATATCAAATATCAAATATAAATGAATTAGTTCAACAACTCAATCTCACATAGATGCAACACCACTATTTATATTGACTTTGTCCTCGTGACTGCTAAAGTGACAGTTAAGTTCGACAAATCTGCCCCATCCAAATCTTTTCATTTGTTTGATGGTAAATCTATCTAGTTAATAGGCAATCATATAGCAAGTAAAATCACTGGGGGATTCTGAATAGAAGACGCAAACAGAATTTACAGCATGAAAGCAAAATGGGAGCAGCCTAAACCATGAAAACAGGGTATAGGAGAGCAATAGAAGTGTCATGCTCTTCTGAGGAAAGCATTTAAAAGCAAATCACAATTCCTTGATAAAGAACAACCTTTTGGGTTGTATAATAACAAGTTCCATTTTGTAATTGTTTTAGCACAGGCTAATATGAGCCGACCAGAAGAAGCAAATTCAACTCGAGTTATGCACATAAACATCTAAACCATAACCAATGACAGTTCTATTAGACCAAACTTTGTCAGCCATGGATGTTTGAGGCATCTTTATGGTTTACGTCAGGCTTCCGGCTTTATTTCGTACTTCCAATATATATTAATTCAACAGTGTTACCTTGGATTCCCAGCCACAGGCTTGTACAATTTACTGTTACGTTTTCATAATAAGTTTTGAGGTAGAATAAAGTGATGTTTCTTGACAAATAAAATTGTCCACATGTTAGATGATGTTCATTTCATGGTTATCGTACAATTTTCCAAACTTTAAGCTACAACGTAATGAATTGTAGACGCATCTCTCAGCAACCTTTTTTTAAGGTTTCCTTATTAAACTACCTATTGTTCAGTAGTATATCTACTCATAAAGAAAGGACCAGTAAGAAATCCAGTAAAGCATCATCACCCTCTTGATGATTAATACACATCAGTAAATAAACACTTCTTTAACTTCACTCTCATCCTCGCATAAAATTGTTAAGTGCAAAATTACAACAGTGTAGAATATGACATACCTGAACAAACATTGAAGGTATATCCGGTAATCTGGGTGAATGCCTTCTTCATGGAAACGCAGAAGAGGATTTCGAAGCAAAGCAAAGACTAGTCGAGGTAAAGGCTGTAATTGTGGACATTGAGAGAACGTCACATCGATAAGTGAGCCTATTGAACTCCCATACCCATTGGCAACAGTTTTGCATGCATCATTATATTGAGCTGTAAGAATTACAAGCCAATCATGTAGTAACATCCTGCCTTCTCGAACTCCTTCACTAAGTGAGGCTAGTATGACCTGTAAAGGGAGGGCACGTTAGAGCTAGGGAAGACAAACAAGCCAACTTTCACATCAGAATGTAGTGATAGCTAAATTTTATTGTAGAAGGCAACATGTGAGATGCAATACAATTCAGAAAGCAACCAGGATTACAAGGTGACATTCTTCCCCCGAAAACATGTCAGTGTTTTGTGTTGCTCTGCACCTCATAGCATCAAACAACAGGGTCATCATGGTCATCAAATTAGGTACAACTATATTCTGGAAGAGTTGGAATGATTGAGATAAGATTGACAAATATGAAGAAGGTTGTGGAGACCACATTACCTTGTGAACAAGTATTGAAAGAACAACTTCATGCTCGACACTATCATATAGCTCATTGATGTTATGAGCAACCCCGAACTGCATAGTTCGAATTCTAAGGCGCCTTTTAATGGTATACTTCGATCTGTGTAGACACATTACATTAATGTAAACAAAAAGGTACTCAAATACATAATATTTAGTGAGAAAAAAGAACTTCAATACAGACACAGCTCAGGCTTAAATCTGATTGGCTGGCAAGTAGCATCAGCTACTTATAATGGAATTAATTGAATTTGTCCATTGAGAAAAGAAGCAAGAGTGCTTAGCTACATCAGGTAATTATTACAGGGCAAAACATAGAAAAGCATGGCACAAACACACATACCTACTCGTCAAGCCTGATCCTGAAGTTGGAAGTTCCTGTGGGGACACAACAACAGTATACTGGAAAGCCAACTGTAGCATTGGGAGCTCAGAAGTGTGTCTGCAGCATAAAATGATGTAACAAATCAGGGTTTAAATTTTCTCAAGATAGTACAATATCACAGAACATTGCCATTTGAGATAGGGAACTGCAAATCTGCTATGTAAGTTGTAAAGCGAAATCTACTAGAGATAAAACACCTCATCCCACCAGGTAAGAACAAAATATAAAACTAGAAGGACATGGAATATGAAGTTTTACCTGGAAAACCCATGATTATTTTCAAAATCAAAGTCATAAGCATATGTAGCATACGAATCACAACAAATAACATGTTGCACATTTTCGTACTGTGGATCAGGGAAGAAATGACCATACTGCAGACAAATAATGTAAGTATTAGAAGCATGACCAAAGCAGAACAAGATGAGAGCTTTGCAATAGAATGGACAACCACTCACCGAATTCCCAGGTTTGAATTCAGACGATGTCCTCAACCGCATGATACAATTAAAGGCGTATGGACGACTTAACATCCGGTACCTGCAAACGAAGTGATTTGCCTTGTATAAATCAAACATATAACTTGAGATGTCATTCTTTTGAATTTAGCTCAATGAGATTAGATGCACCAACAACATAGTAGCTACACGGATTACCACAAAGACATGTAAACTTGTTTTGTGAGCCATACTGAAGTTTAATACTTATTTCAGGTATCCAATACTTACATGTCTTGAGGAAGTGTTGAATCATCAGTATTTGGGTAAAGAAACAATGAGCCTCCACTATCAATACTAAGAAACTTCAAAGATGCCAAGTCTGTGTACTCATTTGTAACAGCAAGTATGTCTATGCAAACACCTGCTTGAACAGCGACAGCAGCCTGTAAAACATATGTGAACACCCACATTTTTCAAATACATATCACTTTAAGAACAGAAGTCTATCAGTAAAATTCAGATTAGTACCAAATCTTTGTAAAATGGTGTCTGCTCAGGAAGTAAAGCAAGCTCAGCATCCTCTCCTTTACTAGCATATTGCTCACCATATCTTCTTGTGTCCAGTTGGCCAGGTCCATAATCAGGAGGTCCAGATAGAAAAGCAAATATTCTGGCTGCACAAGATTTCATTTTAGAAAGAAAAAACGTTGTAATGTCCATCAAGTTCAAGATATATTTTTGTTTTGCATAAGCAATCTAGAATCAATTCCATGAAAGTCACCAAACCTAATGCAAAAGTGTTGCCATGTTCAGATCCAAGGTATGAGATAAGTGTTTCCATTGCCAGCCCAAAACCTCGTCCCCCCAGCAAAATTCTATCTAATCCTTGTCCAGAACCTGTACCGTCCCAAGATGACGTTGGTCTTAAAGTTTCTAGTGCAGATGCAATACGGTCCTTGCATGTTTCTACCTGTAGCAAAGATAATGGGAATTATCGATCTGATCAATTGGCTTTTGCAAATGGATCCTTCAAAAGTGAGCATAAAATAATGAAGGCTGGAGTAAAATTTGGCATTAAACTTACTGGAGCCAAAAAAGAAAACAATGGCATGGCATCTTCAAGCTCGATCGGCAAGGTTCCATCAGAGTCCTGGGGTAGAAAGACATTTTTCACCACCGGAATAGGTCCTTGCACATCATACAAACCTAATTTGTGGCTGAATGTAGCAAGCCCAAAAAGAGACCCTGGCGCAAGAGCTATAATGGAACTACATTTTAGCATTCGAAACTCACTGGAGCAGGCATGCATTAAGAGTCTTGATTATAAAACTAGAATCACCAACCTTCCAAAGCAGCTAACAAAGCACTTTTCGTAAGTTCTAAAAACTCTTCTGAGGCTGGAAAAGAGTAAGTGAATGTTGATTACATACATGCAGGAGTTCATCTCAGATAACTTAAAATACATGTGATGCACAGATAGAAATGTCTCGTATATATAAGACTGCAACGAAGTTGAAGATAGCCATACATAGAAACAGTAAGCCTTTAAGTGTTACAAAAGAGTGACCAGAGAAGCTGAGGATAACAATACATCTTTTTTTCTCTTGCAAATTCATATATAAATGATCAAAAGCAGCTATATCCTTGACTGTCATTTATTAGTGTCCACGCTACCCATGGTTTTATACTACCTTTAGCAGCACCTGCCGCCTTCCATGTCTTAAGTGTTAATATACCAGTGGCTTACCCAATGAAATCAACTAGTCTTTTTTCAAACTTGCACCTTTGAAATGCGCTTTATATCTATTTTCTCTTACTTGGAGTTGTTTTGTCTTCTCTTATTCTTGAATATATATGTTGGTATGAACAGTTTTTTACCACACAGCTACTTCAAATTTCTAACATTACGCATCCACTTTTACCAATCATAACGCAAAATAAGAAGGAATGACTACACATCTGGAGCTACCCTCATGATGCAGGACAGAAGCGAGTAGTTGTGCTCCATGATTTACACATGCAACCTTCACTTGTTTATAAATATAAATAAAATGATCATCATCAATCAAAGAAACTAGCTAGTTGGAAATAAGTTTCAGTGGAAATTTTAAGACAGAAGGGGACCACAGTAAATTGTGATTAAGAAGAAAGAAGTCTTCTAAGAGGTGGTCTGTTGTTTTATATAGAACTTCCATATCAAAAAGACAGATGATTCATATTGCCTCAGCAACAATAACCGATAGCAGAACTAATCATACACATTGGTGTTCCATATCAGAAGAAGCTAGTTGCACTTGTAACTCAACTTTAAAAAAAAGGAAATGATACAAAAGGCAATGAGATAACAATCTTAGCATGTCAAACAAGACTGTCCCTGCTTTTAAACCAAGCCTACAAGGAATTACTGTTTTAGCAAACGAATTCTGTCACAACTTCGTAAAACGGAGTACCTACTGTAATGTACCTTAATCAATAGCATTTCATGAAAAACATTCAGACACAAATACATACAACCATTCCATGTACTTAATGATACTTGTTCAGTGATGCATATCATCTTTTATGCTGATGCTTAAAACATGTACATTTGATAACAATTCAAATAGAATAACAAGTTTACAATCAAATCTTACATGCCAAATCAATAGCGGCAACATAAACAGGCCGGGCTTGCATATCCTCCTCAGAACCTTCCACTACAACATATAAACAGATGAATAATTAAGTATGAACACTGAAATCTATAATCATAAGACTTAATAGCTTTGGAAAAAAATGAAATTCAGTGCAAAAAAAGTCATCAATTGTTTTCTGACTGCATTTGCATTGGCATGGAAGTGAGTATTACACATGAACATTGAAATCTATAACTAAAAACAGACTCAATAACTTCAGATCAACAGCTTTAAGCAGCTTGAGGTGCAAGAAACATTTACCAATTCTTGTACTAATCCACATTTGTATTGACATGTAAGAAGATTGAATTCACCTATAAATATCCATCTTCCACTTCTATCATATAGGATTTGGAACTTGGAAGCATGAACTTTCAGGTTTGGATTCGTAATTGAAGCTTAACCGGTTTAATTTTAGCAGAACTTCCCAATTCCAATCCCGCGAAGCATAATTAAATAGAACAATGCATAAAGTAACTGGATATGTATTAATATTGTCATTGATATATCTATACAAACATATCTTGTATGTGTAGAGAGAGGAATAGAGAAATTGTGGAGATTACAGGGCAATTCCAGGTCGACGAAGGAAGACATATTCTCCGGGGCAGATTCAGGAAGAGAGTAACGAGCAATTGTTTCAGAGGAGAGGCCATTTAGGGTTCCACAGAGGGAACAAGTCCACGCCCACTGGTCTTGGTCACAGTACGTGTTGTAGTACGCCCAGCAATTCTCGCACCTAGGAATCAAATCTCCTCCCGATCCGTACACCGGCGAGTTACCGTTCTCGTCCTTGGAGGCGAACGGTGTTACCGTCACTCCCCACGGCAGCCCCGACGATTCCTGCGCGTCCGGATCCGACGGAAACCGTACCACCGTCGCACGCAGCGCCATTATTAGTAAAAATCTTGGGGGCTATTTTGTATGTTTCCGATCGGGGCGGAGAAGATGACGGGGGTGTATGATTGCGGAGGGGTGTCTCTATCTCCGGCGCTTGTTAGAAACTTTCTGGGTTTGACCTTCCACGTACCTTGAGCAAATCATGTTATGCCACGTCAGAATTTTATTTGACTAATCTACGTCGGATGGGTCGGGCGCACACACGGGTTACCAACTTTGATTATAAAAGTTGTTGATAACCGGAGCCCGGAGGTCTTTCGGCCTATAATTTCAAACAAATAATTCGGGATTGTTGTTTACTCTTAATAGTTTTATTAAAGAGTTAACTTTTTAATTATTAAAAGGTAAATTTTGTTTGATAAAAAAAATGTCTTTTAATAGTTTTAAAATCTTTTGAATAGTTTTGTCTTTGAGTTTTTCTTAAGCATTCAACATCTAATTTCATTGTAAACAATTATCAAACAATTATATTTTATTTTGCATTATATCATGAAAGTTTCTTAATCATTCCGACCATTTAATCATTCTATATCAAATCATTCAGCAACTGTCAGACAACCTCTTCCTCTAATTTATTTTTAAGGGGGTGGCTAATGGCACTCCTATCATATGTTAATGTCACTCCTAAGTAGCTTTTCATTATTTGTGTTTTATGATTTTTTGTGTTTTTTTGTTTTTTTGTGATTATTACTTTTTATTTTATTATTAATTAAAGAAAATTTTAATTAATATATATTATTTATTTTATTTTCTGTTTTATTTATTTATTTATATTATATTTTAATTAATATAAATTAT